AATAGACAGGAGAGAACGAGCCTTTTCCTGTTTTCCTATGTGTACCTTCAGAAGACAGGGCTTTGGGAGATTGCAAAACAAATCAAATAATCATTTCAGCTACTGTTTAGTTCATAAATCTATCATATTTACCCAAATCAAAGGCACCTCTGAATTCAAGACAACCCCTCAATAATTAGATTCGATACATGAAAAATTTATAAATGTTACAATTTTCCATGTATAGAATCTAATGATTGGAAAGTTGTCTTAAATTTGTCCACCACCCCATCACTGCAGTGGGAAAAGCAAGTTGCAGGGAGGCAGGCGGTGGAAAGGCAGTAAAGGGGCAGATGGTAGGCAGGAGTCAAGTGGCCTGACCCCTGCGTCTTGCTCCAACACACCTTGCCCCTGCTGCCTGCACCCCCACATTTACCCAATCCTACGGCCTACCCAACCCGGGCCTGTGCGTACCATCACCTGCTCCCACCTCCCACCAGCCTCTGCCCTCCCCAACCCACTGCTGCTTATCCTGAGTGTGGAGACAATGGGGGGGGAGCAGAAGCTGCAGAGAGGGGCAACAAGCGAGCAGAGGTGGTACAGCTCTGACTCTTGCCTCTGTGTTGAGGCCAGCGTTGGAGTTGCTGCAGCAGCTGCCTGCTCCCCAAGCACCATGAATCCAAGACAAGGGGCTCCACCATTTTAAATGGGAGAGAAAACCTTGTCTTGGATTTAAGTAAACATGGTAATTCATGTGGCAGTTGCAGCTAAAATGTCAAAGATGCTTCATCACAGGGAGGAGTCCCTGTGCTGAAGAATTCACACAGACAGATAAAAAACAAGACAGACTCGAGGGCAAGAGAATGGAATGCAATGTGCAGGCAAAGCAGTTGGGCTCTCCCCTGCACCTCTCTCCCAAGAAATGTTCTGATCTGTCTGCCCACATTTCTACTGGGGAGAAAGATGGGAAATCTGAAATTAACTTCTGGGCTAGGGACAGAAGTTACACATAAACGGATTTAAGTGATCAGAAACTGGTTTAAACCTGTAACAGAACAAAAGCTCAGTGCACATAAACCAGTTTCAAAATGGCTAACACTGGTTTAAGATAAACCTGGTTGAATGTAGCATCAGACTTAGCTGATTTGGGTCAAACTGTTTAATGAAACTTCTGTCTCAGACCCCTTCCTGGTTCAAGTTAAATCACAGTCCCCCAGCAGCCCAGCATGCTTTCCAGCCCTGGACTGGGCTATGCTGCCTGCTCCAGGGAACAGGGCTAGTCCAACCCCTCCACTCCCTAGCTGAAGCCGTGAGGGCTGGCTGA